TATATATATATATATATAATACATTGAAATAGATATAAAGTATAATATACAATTAAAATTAATATTAAACTGTCATTGTAGTATAATATATTTGTATATTTTATCTTAAAAGGCTCACTAGGTTTTGCAAAAGAGCCACAAGGCTGTAACTAGGTTGTGTCTCGTTCATTACTTTACCATTTTATCTATGTTTAATGTGAAGTTTTATAGACATTTTATGCACTGCACATGATCAAATTCATAATAAGCAGTTCATATGGATTTTGAATGCATTACATTTATTTATCCCTATTTCTCATGATGTTCCCAGACGGTCCTGATGATCAATAGTCAGGCTATCGGTTCAAACGAGGAGTATTTTGACAACGGGAAGCAGTTCAGACCAGAGCGCTGGATTGAGGAGAAAAGCTCCATCAATCCTTTCGCACATGTGCCGTTTGGGATCGGAAAGAGGATGTGCATCGGCCGGCGGCTCGCTGAGCTACAGATCCAACTCAGTCTCTGCTGGGTACGTTTGCTGGACAATAGAAGCTTAAGCAATACTTCTAGGTCTTAATATGAGTAGATTGATGTCATTTGTCATGCTCTTCATCATAGATACTACGTGACTATGAGATTGTGGCCACAGATCATGAGCCGGTGGACGCGCTGCATTCAGGAACTCTGGTTCCCAGTCGAGAGCTTCCCGTGGCTTTTGTCCGCCGATGAGGTATGAAAATGACTTCTCATGCAAGGCCATAAGAATATTAGCAAAGGTTTGATGCTCCTGTGTGCAGGTTTTGAAACCCCCTTTTTTTTCTTTGCAGATACTAACCTGAACAGATGACTCCATATTAATGGATCCGATACATTGCGAGGCCTTTATACTGCTGCTAAACTATAGAATAAATCAATCTCACACTTATACCTCAAACTATTTGTATTTAGTTTTATGATACTAGTAAATAATTCTTCTATTTATTACTTTATTAAAATGACAGCTTAAATGAAATATTTAAGTTTTTCTCATAATTGCTGCTACCTAATATATTACTCTAGTAAATATATTTGACTAAAATCTTAAAATTATTATGTAGAGATGGTACATTTTCTATGCAATACTATTTAGTACTGAAATCATTCCATGTACAGTATTATGTAAAATCTTTTTTTCTTTTTTTAATACAAAAAGTGTAGAAATGTTGTACATACATGTTATATAAAACATAAATGTAACATTCTATTTATGTACTCATAAATATGTATAATATTTTTAATGTATGTCTGTATGAGTGATGAAAAAACAATGAGTGATTGTTGAAAAGAAGATCACAAGAGTCTAGAAATTCACCACTATTGTTCACCACTTTTTTCTTAATAAAACTTTTAAATGTAATGCTGTGGTCTCATATAAATTGAATTCAGTGTGTATGCCACAAAAAAAATTTGCTTTCACTTACTAAATAAAAATAAATAAATAAATAAATAAAAATGCTGTGCCATCTGGACATTGAAATATATTCCATACTATAGTGAACCATGGTTTTAGTTTCTGATCTTTCTTTTTTATCAGTTCTTTCTGGTCCTCGAATCTGATTGGCTGAAAGAGCGCGCTATTCTAGTGATAACAGAACTCTTTCAACTGCTTCACCGTTTGTATCACTCTGCTTCCTGTATTTCTCACAGGGAGTGTCATGGCGCACACCCAAATCCACTATAATTTTATAAATAATACTGTTTTTGTGT